TAAGTCATTTGAATCTTACAGAGACATTGACGAATCAGGTTTAACAGTATTTATATACGTCAGTTATGCTAATTTAATGGTAGCCCTTGACGATCCTTACGTAGACAAAATATTACAGAAATCGATATTAAGTAAATATTCTGAAGAATGCGTAAAGTTACTACTATCTGGTGAAGACCGTATTTGTGTATCGTCGTATGAGGCGTTAAAAAACTATATACAATTGCATTATACAAACACGAGCTCTCCTGTAACAATCTCTAATCTACAAATTGGATGCATACCATGCTCTTATTTATTTGAAAAAGCTAGCCCGTATGCAGGAAAATTTCACGAAACTGTAAGAAAACTACGTGAATTTGGAATCGATCAGTTTATCAAGGCACGCCACACCAATACAACCTTTGTCCAGAATAAGATTGAAAGTACAAGCAGTGAAAATGGATTCTCTTCGCAACTTATTTTTTTTATTACTAGTGGAAACGTTCTTGCACTATTGGTTCTCATAGTTGAGTATTTTTGGATAATAAAAAAAGTAGAGAAAAATTTTAATTTTAAAATGAAATAAATTCATCGTTTTAAAGTTGTAAATATTTTCACCTGATAATTTTAGGCTTACGCAAGAAAAAAAATGCGATTATAGTAAGCTGTGATTGAAAAATAAATGATCAAGTCCATTGAGATCATTATTTAGGCCACCTTATCCATTTTCACTCCTATCGCAATATAATGTATTTTCACATTTGCAAATAAATCGATTTTTCTCTGCTTTTTTTAGTGGCGTAAATTTTTCGACCAACCTCCCTTATAAAAATTTCCTATAGGATCTCGCGAAATTCCTACAGGAGTCCTATAGGATTCCAATAGGAATTTCGCGGGATCCTATTGGAAATTTTTATAAGGGCTTTTTCAAGACTTATAAATATCTTCAAACTTAAGCATTTTTTCGTCGTAAAATTTTAAGATAATATTATTGAAAAGGGTTTCCTTTTAATTCGATCTTGTTTACATTTTGTAGGCTAGCAACACGTGGCACAAGTGACAAGAAATATCAAGTTGTAATGAAAATTTGGTTTCTTTCATTTCATTTTATTCAGTTTCATTCAGGACAAAGGTTGCATTGACTTTTCATGTCTTGATAAACTAATTGATTACAAATTCATCTAGTTTTCCTAAAATTTTATGGAATTTTTTTGTACAAGGATTAATATTTTTAAATAAAGACTTGGTAGAATGGAAAACCTCTCGATGAGTAGTTCTATGGTGAATTAAAAACATTACGAAAAATAACGTATAGGGGAGAACCGCCTATTATGGCGTACCTAACGCATTTTGGTCAATAACAAAAAATGTGCTCGATGATATGACATTTGAAGTTGAACATTTTATTCCATATACCGTAATCTTGGAAAATGCACCCTACTTTCTATGAGAAATGTATTTATTTTTTCATAAACAAGCATTATAAAAAAGTTGTTACTGCGCCGTAATCGGCTCGTTTTTTGCCTATTATGGCACATAAACAGCATAGGCTTTAACCTCCAAAAGTGATGTCTGTTTTTGTGGCACACATCAAATTACCCATTAACGCGCAAAAGTGCAATTTTGTGCATGAATTTTCCATTGTGAAAAAATCATAGATAAAGTTAAAATCTTTTCTTGAAAACCCATTTCCAGGAGTTTTTGGGTATGCTCTTACAGACTCCGGTGTTATTTTTGCGATAAATAAACATTATCATCGTTTATTTTGCGATTAAAAAAAAACGTGATTTTTTGACTTGAAATTTTTTTTCAAAGTCAATTTTCTACCTTGCCCTGCCCTCGGAGAGTTTCCCATAACACCAGCAATCGTGCAAATTTTCCCTGAAACTTCAAGAAACGCATTGCTTCTATTTTTATCTAGCTGCTATATTTCTAAAATGGTGGGTTTATAACGAAAAGCGTTATAAAAATTCACTCATTTAACTTTTCGCTCTTACCATGTCTAAATCGAAACGAGCAAAATTATGAAAACCACGATAATTTATGATTTTATGAGTTTGTCTTCCAAAAGTTGTATTTAAAATTGCAGTTTGAAAGGTACAATTTTCTTTTCATTTCAATTCGTAAAGCACTTATCATTTTTATATGACGTTAAAATATATACAGAACGTGCTTTCGAGGCCTCTACTTTGAGAAGCCATGATTAACTAAGACAAACAATATTTTTTTCTTAAGGAAGGAGGTAGGTTTATCAGGCCAAAATTAAGTGTTTTTTGCGTTTTTTTAAGGTAGAAGCAATGATTCAATACGATCAAAACTTTTAAACATATTTCAAAGTATTTCTGTGAATTTTTTTTAGTAAAAATCTTTCAAAGTGGCGGAGATACGAGCTTCTGTTCATAGCGTCTCAGCGGCAGAGGTGGAATAACTCAACGAAAAATCAACCGATTTTCAAAATTCATAGTTTTTCTGATTCGTTATAAAATAACCTTCAATATGAATCAACCAGATCATGAAATAGTTGAAATTAAAAAAAATGAGGACCATTTAAAAAAAATTGTTTCTTACGTTTTTCTTTTGCACTTTGATTGCGCGAAAAAAATATTTCTCTTCCTTTTTTCGATAATTATTTTAGTTCATATTCAAGGTAATTTAATGACAAATCAGAAAAACTTTGATTTTTGAAAATCGGTTGATTTTTCGTTGGGTTATGTTGCAAGCCAGTTCCGAAAATGACATTTCGAGATAAACGCTTTCAAAGTTAGCGAAAACATTTGAAGTATTATAATGTTTTTGGTCTAATTTGCTATTTCAACGCCATATTGCCACCCTATGTCAACCTTTAGAATTTGATTTGACATCAAAAAATCTTCTTTTATTGTTTTTGAAGTTTAAATACGTACATTTAAATGATGTAGCGCATCTTACTTGCTGCGCGCTTATACAGTAAGTCAAAACGCATCCCACTTCAAAACTGCACACCTCGTGAAATACTTTGAATTTTAATCTGAAATTTCTTGAGCTTATTCTCGAATACTTTTACTTTGGGTTAATGTAATAATAAAAAAAAATAATTTTTTGACCCCTATAAACCTATCTCCCCCGTTCGGCTGAAGTGAAAAAATGACTTTCAAGTTTCACTATTTTTTATCTCATAAATGTTTGAATGTCGAAAAAAAGTTCATCGAACAAAAAAGTATTAGAATTGTTCAAAGCACAACATCAAATTTTTTTTAAAGTTTCACGAGACAAATTTTCAATTTCCGGGAAAAACGGAAAATCCGGTCTCCTAAAATCACTGAAAAAAATTCTGAAAAAAATTTGAGAATGTTCCGAAATCAAATCTAAAGACTATTTTGTTTTAAAAACGTTTACTTAAACTCAATAGTTTTCGAGAAAAAAAATATTTTTAGTTAACATCACAAAAATTATTGGTATTTTACATTAAATTATTGGAAAATTAATTTAAATTATTTATTATTTATTTATCCTATAAGAGTAGTGAGTTTTTTAGCGTGAGCAGTTTATAAGCGCTGTGATTGGTCGTTCAGTAGCTTGCAATTGTTTAGTGGCGCGCAAATATGAGTATTATAGTAAATTGAGAATTGAGAAAGTAGAATATTATAACCTATTGACGGCTGAAGACTAATTTTGATTGGGTTTCTCGAGGGGGCGCTGAGAAAAAAAGATGAGTGATTGCATAAAAATTCCTATTTGTAAATGATTATTATGGTTGTAAAAAAGTTTATTGTTTTCGTTTTACTTATATTTTCATATTGAAAAGTATAGTAAAGGTTTGATTGGCTGACAATCAATAACTCAATCGCGTGATACGGAAATAGCTTTTATGCATAATTTAACGTTAAAGTTTATTGAGAACAAGTATTAAAAATCCTTGTAGAAAATGAACCGTCACAATTAAAGATAATTTTCATACTATCTTCACGAAAGAAAAGTGTTCATGAAAAATTCATAAAAAATCATTGAGGTGCATCATCGACGTCGATATGAATAAAACGGCGATAAAGGCGGTGCCAAAGTCAAGTTTTATTAAAAATAAATCGCCGTTTTATTCATATCGACATTTACCAAAAAGGCGCAACGATTTTATCATGCATCATCGACACTGATAATGTAACAAAAATTATATTTGTGACCCTAAATAAAATAATCCCGTATACAGTTGCGAAAGCGAATTTATGAAAATTTTGAAAATTACATAAAAAAAGCGTACACGTGCATTCAGTATCAGGCAGAAAATTCAAAATCTTTAGAATTTTTGGATAATTTTTTACTGGGTTATTTTCGATTGGACATATTCATTTTGCAAAGATTGCAGTTTAAAACTTATAAAGGTTATCCAATATGATTTATAAATGTGGATTATATTATTTGGGTTAACTTGGATAGAAATGTTCATTTTTCAAAGTCACTATAGCTTAGAACACACAGATTTACTTGGATAATATTTGCGAATCTGAATAATGTGCAGAATAATTTTTGAAGCCTCGAAAATGGTGGTCTGGATAATATTCTCTAACTTTGTCATATTATGAGGTTATTTTGGATAGAATATTTTTATTACGATATTGAAATTTTCTATATTCAACATAATAAGCTCCAAACAAGAAGTTTTTTGAAAACTTGAGATTAAATACTCAAGAACTCAAGATCTTAGTATTGTTAAAGGATATGATAAACAGAGCGATCGGCAAATAACGAAGAAACCAGAAGTTGGATGGCTAAATTGTAAAAATTAAGTAAAATTTATATCGCTCGATGTTCAAATAATTACTACCAATGTACCGCATTACAAGACTGATTATAAATTAGAAAAAATTTCCATGAACAAATGAATTTTCAAAATCTCTTCTGATGTGAATTAAATCCTCCCCTTAGCAGCTGGGCTTATTCATATAGTCGCTGGCAGCGGGCAGGAACGAAGGATGCAATGCAAGCAGGACAGTTCGGCCCGCTACATTATAAGTGCCAGCCGCCAGTGTATGCAGGGCTTTATACTGTGAGACTAGTAGCCGCAGTCGCGCTCTAGAAATGGCTGATATCTACCATGAGCAAAACCAAGTTGTGCCCATGATTTCGACTAAATTTTTGTGCTGCAAGTACACACAGCAAATGTACGTGTATTTGTGCATGTGCTGTGCATAAGAGTGACATTGTATGCATTTTAAAGTGCACAACCTGCTGTCAGCTGGTGACTATCTTCTGTTATCTGAAAAAAAATTCACCCTGAAGGACCATCTCAATACCAAGCAATGAGATTTAATTGCTGCTAAAAGAGGCCAACTTTTTTATTCGTGCATCAAGATCAAAACTGCATTAGTCTCAAGCCATAGCTTTTCGTAGGAGTAAGTATATATTCGCCCAATTAATAAGTATTGATTCAATAGGCTATTCCCCCGCGTTTCATCTTCTTTTCGCACCAGATTCGCAATATTAGTTCAAACATTTTAGAGGACAATTCATGACAGTGTGAAAATAGCGTATTGCTAATCTTTCAAAACTATACTTAATATTTCAGTAGTTAGTGACCGCATGACACAGAAATGTGAAAGTTTCGAAAATCTAAGCAGACTAGCGAGCATCGTTCATTTACCGCACCGTACTAGTTCTCATCCGTGTTGCAATCGCCTCTCACATAGAAAAATATATTTTTCACGATTTTACTCAGCTCATAAGTTCCCAAAAGTTCGAACAAGAACAAGAGTTATTATCATTTATCAGATTGGCTCATTTTGGTATGAATATAAATTTTACAAGTTATTAATCGCGGACTAAACAGTTAAATTTCATTTCATTTTGATATTTTTAAGTGGAATTATTTTTAATATAAAATTTCATTCACAGGAAGAAGAGCAAGGAAAGGAAAGAAATCGTCATTTTGAAGAGGAATGCCCGGCGCCTGAGAATGCGTATTTTACACATGCATCTGTAAGGTATACATGTAAGCGCTGTGTGCTAACGCGGCAGCAAATAAACGAAGGAGAAGAAGAATATATAAAATAAGTAGCATATAGATATAAAGGTCGGTACTTTCTCACGCGCGCGCGCCAGCCAAAGCCAAACCAAAGGACTATGGCCGGCAGCAGTAGCAACAATGAGAGTAGAAGTAGTAGTGGGACGCGAGCTATGGCTGAGCAGAGGCCGCATTCCAGAGTGGGCGGCCAGCTGGAATGCAACGGCAAGGCTACTGCAACAACCACTGCCGCCACCACCAACAACAACGCCAATGAAGCTGCATCACAAAGATCTGCAGCTAACGAATCGCAGCACGAGCAGCAGCAACTTTGCCGATACGGCACTGCTGGAATGTCTTTTGTTGAAATTTTTCAGGTACAATTGAGCCTTTTATTTACTTTTTTATATTTATTATCAAATTGATTATTTAATGTTACGTGCGTAGTTTTTTTCTTCAATTTTTACCTGCATATTTACCAAATACTTAAACGCAATTCTCAATAATTTATTGGGACAATGTTAGTTTTTCTTCAACTTTTCAACTTTATTAAAACAAATAATTCTTTTTAGAGATAAACATTAAAATCATTTTATAATTTCAGATTCGCTTGCAACAACTTTTTCCACAATTGTCATCACCTCCAAAGACAACAATATGCGAAGACTCCATTGAACTTACAGCTGAAGGTTTAGCAAATGATGTAATTAGGTATCTTTTGAAGGAAGATATTTACTTAATTTCTAGGGATCCAATATCTCGAAGCATGAGACATAATGTATATCAAATGTTGAACAAACACAGTATATTATTCACCAGTATGGTAAATAGACTAAATGTTGTTCCTGATACTGCTTATGAAGCATTTATGGGTGTAGCAGATGAATTGTTTCATCAAGGAGTTACTTGGTCAAGAATAGTTTGTCTTTATGCATTCATGGGTAGAATGGCACTATGGGCCCGTGACAGACGCATGCATAGTCTGAAAAGGAAATTACCCTTATATGTATCAAGATATATTGGAGAAGAACTTGCGCCATTTATCAAAATATGTGGTGGATGGGTACTTTCAATACTATTCAATTTTTCATAATTTTATTGTATTTTAATATATATATCTTTTATTTACAGGAACAACTTTGTTTAGAATACCCTGTAGCAGAAGAAGTAAGTGGAGCTGTTTGGAGAAGTTTACTTGTGACTGGAGCCACTCTTGGGTTGGTAGCGACTATTTTGTCAGTAACTTCATGAATGTAATTTTCCTAATAATTTAAAAAAAATATTAGAGTGAAATTTATGCGTACTTACATCCTGTGATCTTATAAGTATAAATTCGCTTTTTAGCACCAAAATACAGTATTCTTTGAAATGAATATTAATTTGTAGTTGAATGCTACAAAGTTTCTGTAATCAGTACCTTCTCTGAACTTATTGTCTTTTTATCACATATTTGTATATTTATGCTGATGCGCAACAAAAAGCAAGTGTGAAAATGCAAATTTCCTATTACTGTTATGTGTATATTGTGCAACTATAGTAAGCTAGCTCAATTCCTAAGATATTTTATCCTTTTTGAGATGTTCCAAATTATAAAAAGGACTTTGAATAATGTAGGACATCTGCAATCCAAAAATATGTTAATTTAAATCAATTTAGATATTTTATATTTATTTTTATTTTTAGATAGAAAATCAAAAACAATTTTTATAAATTGTTCATTTTATCTAATATTTTATTTTCTTGAAATTGATTAACAACCTAAACTATGATAAAATTAAGAACTTGATAAATTGTAACAAAGTTAAAACTGAATGTAGACTAATTTTAATGTTTATAATATACTATTAAATAAATTATTTGATTAGTATACATGATCTGTCAATACTCATTGGTAAAAAATTTGCAAATAAAATTTTATCAAGGATTAGTTAAAAATCTAATTAAGTCTGACATGGTGGTTTTATAGTTTTTATTTCAAAGCTTTAGACAACGAATTCATATGTTGTTAAATAACAACAACAATGGTCATACATTAGTAAAGAATTTACATTGGACGTTTAATGATATAAGCTAAAAAGTCTAAATATTCTACAATAAGATTTAACAATTAAAAAAAAAAAATACAAATAAAAAAAAGAAAAAATTGCCAACTTTTTTACAAACTCATAACATTAAGAAATTAATGTAATTTCAATATTTCATCTTTAAAAAATGTTTTGCTCCGTGATAATTTATGGAAATATTTTGCTTTTGCTCTACTTATGTCTAAGGGTATTAAGTTTCATGGATACAGAAATATATTTTAAATACGTATAAATATAAAATTTCTCAATTTATTTTATACTCTCATAAGTTTGGAAAGATCTAAAATGATTGAAACACCTACCAAAATTCACCAATCACGTTGATCTTATTTACCTGGAAACTTCATGCAGTAAACCACAGTATTTCATTGATTACCTTAAACAGTTCACTTTCCTAATAAAAGAAGTTCAGTTAGTCTTCCTAATTGAATTTTAAACTGTACAAAAGCTATCGAATTTCATTCGTCAAGTCTATAATTGAAACGTTTCCCTTTCATTAACGTTGAATAAATAAGAGTAACAATGTAGACTATCAATAAAATATTATTCTCCAAATGTACATTTTAATCTTGTTGAGAATCCTAAAATCCACAGACAAGTTTTATTTTTTATACACATCTACAAATTGTTAAATGATACATACACATACATATATCTTCGACTTTCAGGAAAAAAAATACCAACTCCATTTATATAAAATTTTGAATGAAATTGATTGCCACATTTTTCTGTTGTAGGCTATTTAATTAAACTCAAAAAATGTATTAATGTTAAAAGTTAAAAATTATTGTTTAATTGGGTTACTTCAATTTAATTAATAATGCAAATGCAATGGTGAAAAATACCTAATTACCTAAACTCATTTTAACATGGTGATTCAATTAATAAATTTTTGACTGGACTTTACCAATCTAACTGAAATATTACAAAAAATGGAGGTAAGCACTCTTCTCGATAACCGTCGAAATGAATTTTCATATGAACATACATTACATGAATATGTCATACAAATGAACACACGTATGTACGAGTGCATGTACGCACATTTACGTTCATACATTATTATATTCAATCTGTACAGGGAAACTTCATATACATTCCTTTTGATCATACTCCAATATTGATCAATAGAGATTATTGCATCTTAGTAATGCAGAATTTTATTTAATTTTCAAATTTCTAGAACAAAAATTAACAATACTTTTGCATTTACAATTTATATTTTCCTCATGCTGGCAACATTATATGTCATGACTTCGATTCAAACATTTTTTACCTATGACTATTTTAGGCACGTTTACAAAAAAGTTTTATAATTATCCAGAAACCGTAATAATAGAACTATTTACATTATATCTTTCATGGAGTATCAAACAAGACTGAATTTTTATTTGAAAAATTAAATTCAATCACAATTTCATTCAACCTTAATTTTCTTTCAACACTTTGATACCAGTTTTTTAGCACTATGTTCACAGTATAATTTGAATTGTCAACATTTTTTGAATATGAACTTGATTTGGCAGTCGTAAACTGAACTAAATGGAAACCAACATTATGACTTTAAAATTATTAAGTTTTTAGCCATACTGTTCATTTCAATAATCAAAATTTCTTGTATTATGCTGTGTAGTGTATTTGTATTCTGGTTCTGTCGCAATATGCGGCGCTCTAAGAAAAGGAAAGTTAAGATCTGATTCTGAGATTATGTGGACATTTTTTTCATCTTTGTTCACCTTTCCAAGTGCATAAATAGTCTTTTGTATTTCATATGTAGCCTCATCTAATGAATAATTTACTCTAAAGAAATATAACTTAATTAAATTTGCATGAAGTAATAAATTTAATAAGACAAAAGATAACTCAAGAAAAAAGTTGAAGTATTAGAAACTTTTGTTCAATTGTTGACTATGTAAGCACTTATATTATTTATTACAGCACCTTTCCTCATTTTTTTCAGATTTACATTTATAATTCAATCTTTTTTTTTTATATGCTAAGTTATGTCCAACTTAATATATTAATCGTTAATATCGTGGATGAATTTATGACTAATCAAATACTAAAAACAATCTTTTAAATTTAAGTTTATATGCACTCATTCACTAGATTAAAAACAAATACAAATAATAATAAAAATAACAATGAAGACTCAAGTCTTTCAATTCTTTTAAAATCATTGAGCATAGTCTGTAAAGTAAAATTTATTTCAAAGTATTATTTTCTAAACAAGACCATCAGTCAACTTTATTTGATGAACATAGATGTTATGTTCTCATGATGTATGATGTTGATTAAGTTCAGATCCCGTGATTTTAAAAGAATATTTTATCTCTCAGCTCATAGGGTTTATCACAGCTGGAACAAAGCTTGGAAGTTGGTCACTAACAACAAGTTACAAACTGCGCGAAACTTATTCTTTGTATACTTATTCCAAATAATCCCACCAATCTTTTTCATAACCTTCGTGTACATGTTCTAAGAGCACTTTACGCCGACTGTCGCAGTAGCTGAAAGTTAAATTATTTAGTTATTATTTAGTTATCATTTAGTACTATACTACTCATTTCATAACAAAAGCTTTGAATTACCGATATTTATCCTGAACTTTTTGTTTTATATCTGCTAAGTTTTCACTTGTAATGTCTCTTTCCAGATATTCTGATAAACATTCTGTAGCGCTTTCTAAATCCCTTTGATTATCTTCAAATAGTACAGATTGATTATTCTTTTGCAAATAGTATGCGAATACATATGTGTACATTAAAGTCTGTCTGCATAAACACAAAATGTCAACAGCTTTTTTGAGAAACTGCACCTATAAAAATAATATCAGAAATGTTAATTAATTGATAATAAAGTGTAAACAGGAATATAATTAAATATTGGATTTCACAAAAATATAAAAGGACAAGTCAACCATAAATTTGATTAGTCATTCGAGTGATCTGAGAACTTGTTAGAAAAATATTATGAGAAAAAATTGAAAACCCTAAGATTGTTATCGAAAAAAAAAACGTTGAAAATGTTATAAACATTAAAAATGGGTATGGCAATATTTGGAGAAATTCAGTTCAGTGTTATAAATGTAAGTAATAAAATTAAAAGTAGTAACAAACCTCTATCCATGACATGTTGTGCTGTTGCATTTCTTCCATTTTTTCTTTCACGCTAGAATAAAGTTTGTTTTCAAACTTCAATGACTGCATATGGTTCATGTAACGATTACAATAAAATAGATAACGTTGTAAAGCTGCTCTTGATTTTTCCTGTGCATCTCTGGCCACTTTGGCATCTGCTTCGTCATACCGATTACAATTATACCAGCTTGAACCATGTGGCTCCCAAGGTCCAAGGCAAACCCAGCAAAATTCAGTTTTGCAACTATTTTTGCAGATCATATGATTACAACCTCCATCTTTTTCAATGGTGACATTACATTTTGGACACTCTTTTGTGTTAGCTGCTATCCAGTTAGATGTTTCTGAATCATCATCACATTTTTTAATCCATTTGCGTAATAAACGACACTTAACAGGATCATGCCAGTTTTCCCCACAATTAAAACAGAATGTGTGGTTGCATTTACATGTTACTGGCTTTGACTCTACATATTGAACTTTAATAGCATTATTACAATCCGGTGATGGACACCATCTCAGCAGTCTATTACACTAAAAAAAATTTCCAAATTAATTTTAACAATGCACTATATTATTTCATAAGGTTTACTTTACTTACTTCTACGAAGCTATTTGTAATAAGGTGTTGATATTTCAATTTTACTTTTGAATCTTTGATGAGACGCATTACATTTGCATCATCTACTAATATATCGCATGCATGTGCTGCACATGCTATAGTTTGACCCACTCCTTCTTCCATAATTTTTGTAGTTAAATACTCGCCCCAACAACTTGTACAAAATCGATGACCACATTCCAAACCAGTCATCATCTATAACATAAAATAAGTAAATGATTTCTCACAGACATATATTTAGCTAGAATTTTTCAGAAACTTACACTTGCTGGAAGAGCCATAAAGCATACACCACATTCTTCGGTGGCATTAGTTTTCTAGGATAAAAATAATAATTAATTAAGTGTTTTTTAAATTTATTATAGAGAAAATATTGTCTTACAATTTGTGGACGATTTTTTATGAGAGCTGATGTTTTGGTAAATGGATTTATAACATGGGCTTCAGTAAAAAGTTTTTCTTGGTCTCCATCATAAAACCTTTCCATCAGTTTTTCTTTGTCCCATTTAAAGTGGTTTAATAAGATTCTTGTTGTAGTTGCTGGAATCTAAAATCAAATAAATTTATTTTCTTTGAATGAATCTAATGATATGATTCAGTCATCATTTTTTATTCAAATATTCTTTTTTAATTTTATTTCGGTAAAAGTTGAAATGTTGAATTTTATTATTTTTTACCTCTACTACTGTATTGACATCTTTGATACAATCTACCATGTGCTGAACTATTTCTTCTGTAGATAGAACTTCAAATGGATATTCATCAGTGTCTGCAGTTCGTTCTATGGGATTACTTGATTCAACATCCATGGCAAAATCAACATCATCACCACTAGATTCATTTCCTGAATCAATGTCATCATATAAAGTTTCTTCTTCTGAATCCATAGCTTTGAATTTGTATTACCACCTTTTTTTATATCTGTAATAGGAATAAATAAATAAATATAAAATCTACAATTTCAAGCTCTCTTTTTTGTATTTTTGTATAGTTGTATGTGTTTTCATGTATAATTGTTCAATGAAATACTTATTACTTTTCAAAAAGATCAAAGCAAAAAATTGTAACCTAATGCCAATTGTGTAAAATCGAAATAGACTATTCAATAGGGGTACATTTCAAATTTAGACCCACGCTGGCCAAAACCTCAAACTGACAAACAAATTTACACCAGCCATTTCTTCAATTTCGATCAAACACTTCAACATTGTCAGCCTATTCGAGTGTACCAAGTGAAAAAACTTTTCTTCAATTTTGCGATCTGATTTTAACAAAGAATTATAGGTTAGTTTTATAGTCCTCACACGCTCTTTTATAAATATTTTTGATAATCGTTCGACAAACAAAAAAAGGCGATACACTTTTTTCTGAAGAGGTTATTATTACTGTCAAACTCACCACCATTCCCCGATTCGAATTAGAACACATGTATGCACAACAATGGCTTTTGCCTTACAAACTGATTCACTCTGCAAAGTGTAAAATACAGAAAAATAAAAGTATAGTGTTGTGAGGGTCGCCCTTGTATTCAAGTAAGCGGCAACACCAGTCACTGTGAGTCTGTGACCAGCGATGTGACACAGGTGACTGCACCAGTCGGCTGCTTTTTCAGCTACTTTATCTTTTGATACGCTATTGCCAACATTTCAATATGAACAACTAGAGTGAATTGAACGAGTTTTTAATTATTCGAGAAAATGCTTTCTTTTTTAACATTAAGCGTGATTTCTATAAATGAGCTGAGTAAATATTTTTTTTAAAACATCCAAAACTGACACATTAATCCTAATTATTTGTATTGAAATGTTGGCAATGCCATATCAATGGATCAAGTAGAACAAGTAGATGACTCGTGCGCAGTCGCCTGTGTCACAACGCTGGATATACTGGTTGGCATGGACAGAGCCCCTACTATTTTAGATATACATGTTCTCACTATTGCAGCATCAACATAAAGCAAGTGTACCCTAACTTGAAGAAGGACAAAATTGGAGAAAACTAACATCATAATTGAATATTCCCATCAATGATCTAGCATGTAAAACCAGACTAATATTAGCGCGCAAGATAAGTACATACTTTGAGGAACGAGTGTGTACGAAAGGAAAATAAAGCCATCTTCTACTGCTGAAAACTTAGGTTTTTGTTCCTCGAACGATGCATTCAGTTTTTCTCGCCTGAACTCGTTCTTTGTAACAGACCACAATTATCTAGATGCTTGAATTATCAGGAAATCTGCAGAGCTGATTAGTCAATTCATGTACAATCCACTTTGTGGAATTACCATTACCAAATAATTATATGAAGTTTGTCATCATGTATATTTTGTAGGTGTAGGAATTTGATAGAACAGTCGCGTGAGTAACGAAACGAAATCTCAAAGCTTAAGAAAAATTTTTTAAGAATTACGTGTGCACTTATTTTAAGAATTATTAACTCAGAGGTTTTACCGTTTGATTGTTAACTTTGATAAATTTGAAGTGTCAAAGAACTGTTCAATCATCTCTGCTGAAAAATCATGATATATAGGTAATAACCTCGTAGCCTAGTTTTTGCGTTCTATTTTCTATCGATGCATCTTGTGCATAGAAAGTGAGCGAAATGGGCATAAACACGAGAAAAGAGTAAAGCCAATAGTCAGTCCTGATCGAAGCAATAATCATATCTCTGCAAGACCTTTGAGTCATCGTGCATTTACATTGAGAATAACATTAAAAATTTGCGCGATATATTCAGCTGAGATATTTATTTATAGTACCAGTACCAACTACAAAATAGCACAAATGCGCGCACTTACACTAGCACGACCTTCTTGTTAGCAGCAGTGACTCGACGCTCAGACCGAAACATCCGCGTGTACGTATTATAGTGGTTGCTGTCGTTCATCGTCGTCTAATTAATACGTAGTTTGTTACGATCATTTTTCTTGTCTCAAATGGCGCTTATCGAGTCCGAAAGTTATCGAAAGCGATCGTCAACACGCGTGTATCCATTTGTTGACGAATCATAAACGAATGATACTCGAGGCGCAGCTCGCTTGCGCGCTCGTGTTTCGAGGTCTCGAGCCTTGACCGATTTTAAAGAGTCCCTTAATTACTTATTTTTACATCGTCCGCGAGTACTCCTTTTATAAGCACGATGACCTTTTGGCCCTTGGAACAAAAACCTCATTTTCATTTGACTCTTCCCTCTCTTTCCTCTCTGTATAATACTCTTGATGCACACACGCGTACGCGAATGTGTATGAGTGTATGGGTGATATATATATAGATATATATATATATACATATTTACCTTTGAGTGTGTGGCCATGTGTAGCAAGAAATTCTAAATTACTTATGAGAGTATCGAGGGTTGCTTCGCTTGTTTGCGAAATACATGTCCCGACTCTTCGTCGTCTTGGCTTGACCAATGTATTTACCAATGAAAATTTTGCTTTACGCGAGCTTGTTTACGTAATGAACACAATGATATTATCGCTAAATTATTATTTTTTTTAATCAAAAGCAACGTTGATGCGCGACAAAGCACAACCACGTAACCGTATTGGATTATTTCAAATGGCACTCGGAATTCTCATATAAGTAAACACATAAGGAACAACGCTATACGGTCGCGAAAACTGATAATTCTTTCTGACAACAAAGCGTTGAATTAGTATATCGAGGAACGTTCATTTGTCGAATCCGAACACAAAATCAAACTCACAGATGATCAAGAGTATATAAATAAGCATGAATGTTTCGGAGCTGTCCCACTATTGAGGGAAGTGACAAAATTGTTATAAATATTATTTCCAATCTGGCAATATTGACTGCACCTAAGATTATTTATCACACACTCGTGTAAAATTACTACTGAAGATTATGATTGTAATGTCAGCATCGCACACTAGTGGGCAGCCCCCTTAGCAGCAATGGCTGCGCCAGACCAAGTCCATAGTATTCGCACAGTCGCTCACATACATACACACTGCTGACTGCACAGTGCACACATGTGTAAGTAGATGAACGCAGGATTTGCACATTCATTTAATATGTTCGTTGGCTCACTTCAGGCTTCACCTGTCGAGGCACTTCTTTTTGTTATATTATCACTCTTTCAGCTCTTTTAATGCATTTAGACTCACGATCACTCTTTCACCCGATAAGGATTACGCTTTCAATAATACTCTCAACATAAAATTTCACTGATTCTATGCAATTAATGTGCTTGATTTTACCTTGAATATGTTGATTGATTACAGGTTCTTGGTCTGTTTAAACAATTGAAACAGTGAACGCACTTGAATATTGAAATTTATTTGTCGGAAGACTCAACGGTATAATTAGTTTTGAGAACACTAGTGAGTTGACTATTTTACATAATGACATTGGATCGATTAGCAGAAGGATCAACGACAACAACGATAAAAGCAGCAGTTAAAGCCCTGACACTTGATTGTTTGCAAAGTGCAGCTTCACAGCAGTAGCAGAAGTCGTGTTATATTGCTACATGTATAAACTTTTATTGCGAGAACAGCTACCGTATAATAGACGACGCTACATAGAGATCAGATGGCAACTCACTGAAAAACACAAGATCGGAGAGTTGCAGCCGAGAGCAGAAAAGTTTGGCATTATGGTGGGGGCAGAGAGAGGGAGGGAGATACCTATATAGCTAAAGCCTTGTTTCCCCTAGATGCACCTTTACTTTCACAAGACACATAATGCACCTATAGGCGTATTGTAGTGTGCATAATTCAAGTGCACGATTTTGTTTTGAATACATAATATTTATTTTATATGTAGTACAGCAGCAGCATGCTAACTAAACGTTGAATCATCAATGTACATTAATCTCGAGCTCACTAAATTTTTGCTGCGACAAATATGGAATAATGTAATGTTTTTTCTGAACTTACTCAGTTTGAAGTGAGCACCGCTGGGACGATGTTATAAAATTCAAAATTCGATTCTAGCTCGTTAGTCGAATATTGTAAAAAAATGTATAAAAATAGCAAAAAAAAATTGCTTCAAATGCACGAAAAAAATGTTGAATAATGGATTAAGTTCTCGCAATGACCCAAACACATTTATTTGAACACGTTCAATGAATCAGATAGTTTAGAAACGTGTACCCTTGAAAAAATGTCCTTTAGGATCCCGCGAAATTCCTTCATCCTTTTTTTTAAGGGTAAATATAGTCTTATCATTTTTTTATAGATATTCACAGAACTTTCTCAAAATGGCAACTACTACCTCATACATTTTCTTACGATTTTATCGTTTTTACGGCATAGATACATCAAAGTGTGTTGAAAAACGTGCAAAAAAACTTGTAAGAAAAGCTCACGAAATGGAAAATGTAGCCAGAAAAACATTCGGTTGAGTTGACAGAGAGTCACCCATAAATCAATACCTTATATTTGTTATTTTCGTCTGAGAGCTTTCTGTAAAAAGTAAAATATGCTCATTAAGTTCATACCTTTTTTTACTTTTGCTCACTGGACTAATTTTTTATTACTGTTATTATTCAATAATTCACTGAATAATAATTATGGTGAAAAATGTAAAATAAATTTATTTCAGAAAAATAAATTTATAATTTCACATTGGGATCCGACAAATCTGAACACGTGGTATAATTTTTTTATTCATCCTTTATTTAACGAATTCAGGGGACGGATTAGAATACGGTCTCAAATAAATATTTATATAGTAAAGTTAAAGCGAAACGTATATTGACTATCAGAATAACCAGTGGTGTCTCCAATTTTGGATTAATTCCATGCTTTTTCTTATGAGTAAATTTCGATAAGCACATGTTAAAGTTGAGACCATCGCCGCAATCCCCTCTATCCACATTCAGATAACGACGGTACGGAGTTCGAAAATTTTGCACTAATATTTCCCGGAGGTTTATGTAGATGAAAAATAATTCGATTTTCAGATTCCTCGTCAAATTTCATATAAGAATGTGAGGTCATTTTCCACTCGCGGGAAATGTGCGACTAGGATGTATTTAAACAAGATGATTCCATTTCAACGCATGTTTAAGCGTACGCCACCAAATTTAATAGTATTTTAGTCATTATCGTGTCAGCTGCTGCAGAGAAGCGAGCACAAAAGTTGTTCTAAAAACCTATTTTCAGATCAAAATTAAACTCGCAGTTTTCCATAGGTTTTTAGGCGAAATATCATTAACACGTCATTTTAATATAAATGTAGCATACAATTAGTGTGAGCATGCTTTTTCAATAAAATGCGGGACAGCACAAACCGAAGAGGAAAAAGTATTTGATGCATGAAGCAAGTACTATTATCAAAGGGTGCAGGAAATCGATTTGAAGATTGTCATAGACGGTTCGGAAAATTAAATAGATACTACAACGAATCTTACGTTATAATGAGAAAATGCTCACTACAATAAAAATTCTAGGCGCACCACGCACCACGCATCACGCATCACGCATGTAGCAAGGTAGGAGCATGCTGACAGCTGATTGCTGACGAGCATTTATACTACTGCTTCTTGCTACAGCCCACAGTACATATGAAATACACGTTATCCACTGATAATTAATCTTAATTAATCTTAGTCTTATCTTAGTAGTACAAAAACGAGATGTGTAGAAATATTCAATTTTAATCAATTTTAAAAATATTAGCATGAGAATGATCAACCTAAAGGTGCAGAAGCTGGATGATAATTACATGTCATGGCACTGAACAGTGAACACATAATAAACTACATCAAGCTTAATTATATTATAAAAAGGTTTTTGTTAATTTTTAATTTTATTACCATCAGTGGTTTTTTTGATTTTCATTTTTCTAGGTAATAGAAATTAGTAAAGCCTGCCTCAAAATGAATTTACCTTGTGTGAAAGATTACAATTTGTTGGAAAAAATCGGATCTGGTAGTTATTCTACTGTCTATAAAGCTTTCAAAAAAGTATGTTATGGTATTATATTAGTTGCAATGTAAATTAACTTTTTTTTCAATACATTTCTGAAGTAATCAATTAGTACAAATTAAAAGCCAATTCATATTTATCGTGATTTATGTTATAGAAAGTTTTAGTTCAATTACTTATCTTCAAATACCTTATTTAAAAAAATTTATGAGTTATTTTTGTTTAGTACCTGCAGTCATGTTAAAATTTTTTTTTCTGTTGAAAGAAACTTTTTTTTAATTTACCAGTAAATTGTAAATAACGATTAAATCTTTTTTTGTTCTTCCACAAGAATGGTTCGCATGAGGTTGTTGCTATCAAGTGCGTTGATAAACTGAACCTCTCTAAATCATCTATTGATAATATTATAACTGAAATTAATCTACTCAAAATACTTAAACATGAATATATTGTGGAAATGCGAGATTTTTTTTGGGATGAAGGGTGAGTCTGTTTATAATAATTATTTTATTTCATTTTTAAACAATTTTCAAATTTAGACCAAATTACTTACTAATTTTAACTACTTATTTACTTACTACTCACTAACTGTATGCTAAAAAGAAATTAATTTACAGACATATTTATATTGTAATGGAGTATTGTAATGAAGGTGACTTATCAAATTTCATTAAACGCAAGAGTAAATTGGCAGAACATGTTTGTCGCAAATTTCTTCAACAACTTGCTCTTGCTCTTAGATATTTGCGGAACCACAATGTTTGTCATATGGATCTGAAACCACAAAATCTTTTACTTGTTAAAAAATCTACTTTGACACTTAAAGTTGGAGGTATTTTTAATTTTATTCTGTTTATAAATTTTTTATTCACATCAGTAATTATTCACAGATTTTGGTTTTGCTCAATATCTAAGTGGTTCAGAAGCTTGTTTTTCTATAAGAGGATCTCCTCTTTATATGGCTCCAGAAATTTTATTAAGGCACAAGTATGATGCAAGAGTTGATTTATGGAGTGTGGGAGTTATAATGTATGAATGTTTATTTGGTCGTGCGCCATATTCAAGTAACAGTTTTCCGGAACTTGCAGAAAAGATCAAAGATATGCGACCCATTGAGGTAAGAAAATTCAGGGTATTTATTTTTTGATTTGAATTATTATTCAAATATTATTGTATTAATGTCAGCATTGGATTTATTTTTTATGTATAATGACTCATTTTGAATGAAATTGATGTAATAAACTGTATACTTCTTTCAAAAGTACAGCATACAATTTTTGCTCGAAAGATTCTTTAGAGCTCACAATTAATAATTATAGAATTAACAATTTTTGGAAATGAATTAAAAAACAGATACGTCATGCAAATAAATTTAGTGTAGCTTCCAAAAGGTAGTCATATATCCAATGAGTGTAAGGATCTTCTAAGTCGTCTCTTAAAGCATAATCCAAATGAACGTCTTAGCTACGATGAATTTTTCTCACATGATTTTCTTGATTTGGAACATGCACCAACTCATGAAAATTTCAACCATGCTGTTGAATTAGTCCACAAAGCAGTGAAAGCTGATACGGATGGATGTCGAAGAGAAGCTTATCATCTATATTGTGACGCCTTAAGATATTTTATTCCAATTCTCACAAGTAAGTTTCTTAAAATAATTTGAAAAATATTATATTACAAGTCTATGTTTAAAAAAATGTAGATGAATCAGATTTGCAAAAAAAAGAAGCATTAAGAACAAAAGTAAATGAGTATATAAAACGAGCAGAGACATTAAAAGATCTTTGTGTGGAGATAGATAAATCAATGCAAGTGAATTTAAGTCAAGAAACGTCTAATCAGGATAAAAAACGAACATTGCCTAAAGGGGACTTCTTTGATAAAAATGTCTCCATAAATTTTCATGAACTTTGTAAGTTTATAAATTTTACTGATTTTAGCTGAGTGCTAACAGTAATTTTGTACTTATACTCTTTTTTTCAACTTTAACAACATTTTTCAAATTTTTTCTAACAATATTTTAAATTTCAATGATACCTATTTCACTTGAATAAAGTTTTAAACAGAAAAGAGTTTAATTAGAAATCAGTCTTATACCATGATACTCATATTATACTTAAATGTATGATTTTTATTTTAGGTAAATTAAGTAGAAGTACTACTGGTATGGTAGATGCACTTGATATCGGTAAAGCAGCTGAAGAGTATTTGTTAGAAGGAAATTATGAACTTGCTCTTGAAAAATTTCAATCAAGTTTAAAAATATTAGTACCATTATTGGGAAAGGAACCACCTGGGAGAAGAAGAGATTTGCTATCTAAACAGGTAAGTTATTTGATTGATTATCTTATTCCCTTATAAAAATTTCCTATAGGATCTCGCGAAATTCCTACAGGAGTCCTATAGGATTCCAATAGGAATTTCGCGGGATCCTATTGGAAATTTTTATAAGGGTTCTGGATGAACTTTTTCTTTAAATTGTAGATTCACAAATGGATGCAAGAAGCGGAAAATACGAAATCTTTTCTCATCACAAAAAATGCAAAGAAAACTTTGATGAACCAACGTTCTACTGATTCTCAAGAGCAGTGTTTATTGCAATAATGTGATATTCAATTTCGTTGAAATAATTTAGTTTAATTTACTTTACCCTATTTTAATACGTATCTATGCATGAGTGAAATTATTTGTAATAGTCAAATAAAAAAATTAAGTATAAAATTAAACCGTGGTAATACTTTTTTCAAAAGTTTAAATAGGTGCAAGTATGACAGTCTGATCCTTATAATTTGATCCTAACTTTAAAATTCTTATTTTTTTGCGAATTGTTGGAACTTTTAATCTCAATCCACCATTGATTAATTGCTTAGAAATGATAATAATGAAATCAAATATATTGCGGCAAGTACTTTCTCAGGCAAACTGAAATTTTCCTCTTTCAAACTTTATAACCACACTATAAGATTTTATGCAAACCTTATGCAATATCACGAATTTTTTTGGGTGAATAGCTGAATATTTCTATTTAAGATCATAATTTACTTTATGTAAAATTTTATTATAGAGGTATGACGATGGCCAATGTTTTGAATTTAATCGAGATGGCCGGCCAACTTGAGTCATGAGAATAAAAGTTAAGTTTACTATAATTCTTACAAATGTGATATTATTAATTATTGCATCATTGTATTACAAATTTTACATTGTGTTTATAGTTTGAAATAGAAAAATTTCTATTACAGACAGAGTAATAGTTAAGTGTAAAGATGAAAGTTCAAACTATCATATTAAGTTATAAAATGTAAGAAAATGTAAAATTACAAACGATTTCGGACAGTTAACACATTATTAAACACCTAATTACATTGTTATGAGAGTTTTGACACTTTGTTATAAAATGCAACATAAAATTACATTTTTTAATGCTTTTTTTTATTTCTTTATCGTTAAACTTCGATAATTCGAAATTCTCGATAATTCGAATTCAAGCTCTGTTTTTAGAGTTTTCGATGTGAATTCAATTTTAATTTACCTCGATGATTCGAAATTTTGATAATTCGAAATGAAATTTTGCATTTAGAGTCTAGATGCCATATAAATTTACTTCAATAATTCGAAACGATGTTGAGTTCAATCAATTATGCGGAAAAAGTGGTAGTGTAAACTATGAATCGGCCGCGGCTTGGATGACATCGCTCGATCTAATTTTAAAAGAATACGAGCCAAGAAATATTTTTAATGCAGATGAAACAGGATTGTTTTACAAGTGCCTTCCATCAAAAACGTACGATTTCAAAGGTCAACCATGTTTTGATGGTAGACACAGTAAAGAGCGAGTATCAATTCTTGTTGGCGCTAATATGGATGGAAATGAAAAACTTCCGTTGCTAATGATTGGCAAAACAGTCAATCTCCAGTGTTTTCGAATTGTCAAAGCAAAACCTATAGAATACACCTCGAACAAAAAAATTTGAAACATTTTTACAAAAAATAAATTGTCTCTATAATGTTAGCAGCTGAATGGATGGTTCAACGGTTAACATTAAAATAGATGTTTTAGTCGTAAGTAGAATGTTAAAATCAGCATGGGATAAAGTCCAGCCTGAAACGATCCCTCATTGTTTCGGAAAGGCTGGATTTTCAATTGCATTTGAACTGGTCAAACAGGTAATTGAAGAAATTGATCAAAATTGGGATTGGGAAGAATATGTTTCTGTTGATGATAATGTATCAGCATTCGGAGTTTTAAGCGAGCAAGAAATAATTGCTGATATTTTAAATAAGAAACGGAAATTGAATGAGGAATCATCTGATGATGATGACAAAGAAGGAGAAAAAAGTACCAAGAAAATCATTCCTACATCGAGTGAAGCAATCAAAAAGTTTGAAGGAGTGAGAAGGAGTTGAATTTTTGGAATTTTCAACTCAAAAACGATAGACTTGAAGACAAAATTTTACTGATGAATGAGTTCTTTGATAAATTTTAAGAATCCATCGTTTTTGAGTTAAAAATTCCAAAAATTTCCTTACATATTCTTGTGTTCCAGTCGATATTTTTTGTACTTAAAATCATATTTTACTAATCGGAACCATCATAACTTTAAGAGAAGAACCCATGAACGCTTTATTTGTACCTTAGACGCCAGGATTTAAAGGATTATCATGTGAAAATTTGAATAAAAGAAAAAATTTTTTTTTCAAAATCACGTTTTTTGGATAAAACCATCCATAACTTTTGACCTGTTTGTTATATAAAAAAACTGACACCGGATTCGGAAAGTTCATTAAAGTATGCGTAGAATATGTTAACTCACAAGTTCTCCAGACCCTACTTTCAGCAAAAGTACAACGGTTCAAAAAAGTATCAAAAATCCCAGGTGAAAATAGTATGTAAGATCTGACTCCAGATCTGGCATCAGATCTGGTATAAGATCTGACAACCCTTATAAAAATTTCCAATAGGATCCCGCGAAATTCCTATTGGAATCCTATGGGACTCCTGTAGGAATTTCGCGAGATCCTATCGGAAATTTTTATAAGGGAAATATACACCAGATCTGGCATCAGATCTGATACCAGATCTTGTATTCGATAATCGACATCAGAACTCATATCAGATCTGACATCAGATCTAATGTCAGATCTGAAGTGACTGTAATGCCTTCAATTATTTAAACAATAAGTTTATTAATAATTAAAATTTTATAATAAATCTTAATAATAAAAATTGTTGAATCAATTTAAATTCACATTATCAGATACCTAAATATTGTAGGAATTTTTCTTAAAGGTATTATCGATGTGATTATTAAAATATAACTAAATTTGTTATAAAGTTGTAATTATTAATAAAGTTATTGTTTAATTAATTAAAGGCAATACGGTCACTTCAGATCTGACATCAGATCTGATGTCAGATCTGATATAAGTTCTGATGTCGATTATACGAATACAAGATCTGGTATCAGATCTGGCGTAAATTTATCAGATCTTATACCAGATCTGATGCCAGATCTGGAGTCAGATCTGACATACTATTTTCACCTGGGATGTGTCCGTCGCAGACTTGATGGGTTAAAAGTCCAATCAAAATCTACCCGAAAATCAGTCGATCCCAGCTGCATTTCAACTGAAAATTTGGACGACAAATCAGCCAAAATGTTGAACTTATTCTTTCCAAGTAGAGATTAAACTTTTAATTTTAAAGCATAGTAAAGGTCCGTGAAAAACCTCCATGAGGATTTATAAGTCGATCACTCACGATGAGTCCTATAATCCAGTAATAAATTTGAGAAAGCGATTTGATATCGAAATTAAAATTAATACCAATCGAGTTAGATCAAATTGAGTGATTGATAAGATTGAAATTGTCATCAATTGGAATGAAGAGCACATGTTTTATAGAAAAATTGCTTCTTCTATATACACGTTCTTTATATCCCTTATAAAAATTTCCAATACCCTTATAAAAATTTCCAATAGGATCCCGCGAAATTCCTATTGGAATCCTATAGGACTCCTGTAGGAATTTCGCGAGATCCTATCGGAAATTTTTATAAGGGATATAACACTTTCTTTTTATAACGCGTTTGATTTTAATATTATAATTTTTGACTGATGTTAATGGCAAATTATCTACTGAGTGAAGAAACATTCGAAGATGATATTCAAAGAACTCAGAACAATTTTTTTTGAGAAACGTACACGAACGAGGCATATTTTTCGTTAAATTTCGATTGTGATAAATATAAAATCAAACCTGCAAAAAATATTGTGATTCTCTCAAGTGATTTTTATGCCACTTTCAATCTATATGCGGCACAGAAGGTATAGTCTCATTTGGACTAATTATGTACTTGGCCTCAACTGCAAATTTATCAATAATCATGTCTGATCAAATTTCTTGAAGAATTTCGACAACTCTTGCAAAAATTTTTTCCCGCGCCCAGGTGAAAATATCACGCTAGATCTGACCTCAGATCTCGTTCTAGAACTGATGCTAGATCTGACCCTAGATCTAGAGTAAGATCTTGAGCATGATCTTACCCTCGAAAATCGACATCCGAACTAATGTCAGATCTAGAGTGAGTTGAAAACCAAAACGCTACTAATGAAAAAAAAATCATAGCTTTATCTGAGTTTCGAACCTGAGCCTTCGAGGTGTTAGTCCCGTAGGCTAACCACACACCCAAAGATATCTTATACCATGGGAGGTTAAGATCCAAAACAAAAATAACTTAGGGCTAATGAATAAGTGAATATAGTTAAAAACAGTCATGTAACATTTATTTTAAATTTTAACTGTTTGTAACTACTGACTATTTTTAACTACATTCACTTATTCAATAGCCCTAAGTTATTTTTGTTTTGGATCTTAACCTCCCATGGTATAAGATATCTTTGGGTGTGCGGTTAGCCTACGGGACTAACACCCCGAAGGCTCAGGTTCGAAACTCAGATAAAGCTATGATTTTTTTTTCATTAGTAGCGTTTTGGTTTTCAACTCACTCTAGATCTGACCTCAGATCTCATTCTAGATCTGACATTAGTTCAGATGTTGATTTTCGAGGGTAAGATCATGCTCAAGATCTTACTCTAGATCTAGGGTCAGATCTAGCATCAGTTCTAGAACGAGATCTGAGGTCAGATCTAGCGTGATATTTTTACCTGGGCGTCTACGTCCTGTCTCTTTCCTAGCGACCATTTAAATGGTCGCCGTAGTAATTGTGTGGCAATAATATGACTCTGCTCAGTGGCTGCTGAGAGGAGCCATACGCCTTTTCACCTTATTAAATGCACTGCGTCCGGGAGCATTGGTCATTATAAAAAGTGCATCCAATGCAGTGCATATTACTTTTTAAAATGTTTTATAGCACTGCGTGGCTAAAGTTCACGTTTAAGGCACGCTTTGCCGTGACTTAAGCTGCTCATTATTGCACCGCGGCGTGCCTATCGCACTCGCTGCGCGATCGTGCGCTAACCTCACACCGCGACGCTATTATGAGCACCTTATATCTCGCCAAAGGGGGCCTAAACGTGAATTTAGCACAGTGCTATAAAATAACGTATGATACTTATGACTCAAGTAGCCCATTCTTAACACGGCACTAGCACCCTCGCTTCGCTCGGGTGCTAACCGTGCCGTGCAATAATGGCCTGCTTAAGTCACACGTATCATAATATACTATTATAGCACAGGCTATAGTTTTGTGGTATCTGAA